GTAGTTCTTGTGGGCTGCGATCCGGGCTGCCACACACCCAAGTCTCATGCCGGCCAGCCTTTGTCAGAAAAGCTAATGCTCGATATCACATTCGAAAAATTGCCAATATTAATCGAATATATACGATACATTAATTTGATATCAGAAAACAGCGCCACTGGCGTGTTTTATTGGACACAAATGCAACAATAAGACGCTAGGTGGGGTGGCTTCCAGCATCAAATTACTTTCCTTTCTGTCCTGCCCTGCCTCGCTCAACGTGCCGCAAAGACCCAGTTCAGGAAAAGCCGAAAATGTGTGTTGTTGCTTTATCGTTTATTCATATTGGCATATCAAGAATAGCATATATGTATATATAATGGCATATATATACATATGTGTATAAAATAGGCTGCAGACGTTTAACTAAACCACCAACACTTAGAACTACAATTTTCGTTGATTCATCTTTACATAAGCATGGTGTTTGGTTTTTGGTTTTGCGCACAGGAAAATCTCAGTCCACACACCTCAATATAAATCTGTGGATTCCGCTCATGTTGCTGGATACTCGACCCAGGAAAACGTAAACGAAAAATTCCTGCCACAGTGGTTTTTATATGAAGTTTGACAGGAATATTTCGATTCCGCGGTGCTGGATACTATGCTTCTACTTACAAATATTTTGTGCCCATAGTATCTAAAAAACTTTTTGCGTATATATCTACACAAACACTTTCAAGCTTTACTGCAAATTTGTCGCTCAGTTCAAAACAAAAAACTGTATTTTCTTTTGTTACACTTAGAGATGTGGTCAAAATGCTACCACCATAATATAAATATGTACATATGTATGTATGTATTTACAGCTGTGAACATGGAAATAGTAGTGCCGCACCTCACTATTTTTGAAAACTATTTCAAAACTATTTTTGAGACACTTCCAGTCTTTCGACTGGACTGTAATCATTAGAACATGCTGTGTAAGAAACTCCTGTTTCATTTGCATCGCATAATACAAATACCCACGAAATCTGCTGTTCTTAGAAATAGTAGTGCTGGATATAAACATTAACCAAAAATTAAAAAACTGAAAAAATTAATTTTAAAACGTAAGTTTATTACAGTTATTGAATATTTTGATGAAATACATTTTTGGAAAAAGCGGTACTATTGTTTTTGGAGCGTTGAAGAAATCATTGATCGGTCCAGAAGAGGAGACCTACATAAGTATGTAAGAGAGGAAAAACTAAAGGCAACATGTAAAGGGTGGCTATTAATAGTTGTCGCACATGTTTAAAGCGAAACTATTCAAAATTAAACATGCTCAGATTTGCAGACATCATGAATTCCTATTCTTACGTTTATTGTGAATTGATCCACATAGTTATTATTTTGACCAGTTGATATTCAAAGCTTCAAAGAAGCAAAACTAGCCTTTGTTTAGAATTTACATTTGCAAGGAAAAAAATTTTTAATTGTGTGATGCACTGTATCTCGGGTCATAGCGACTAGAAGAGTTTAAATATACTACATAAGAGGTCAAAAATGCACCGTTACAAAACTTAATCAAAATTATCTTATGATGAAAGAATAATTTGACTCTTCGGTGGCACGCAACACGATAAAGACACGCAGTTGTTTATGCTGCAGAAAAACCAAAGATCTGAAAATGTTATCAACTTATGTTGTATTCGAAAAGCATGGTAAATATTCCAACTAAAAAGAAAGCAAAATACGATATCTGTTATGGTTTTGGGGCCATTTCTGCATGTTTTTCAAAATTATTTTAATTTAACCGCCAATTGCAAAAAATTGGACACAAAATTCCCGATAAGGGGAGCCGTGCCGCTTGCATCCATCTTTTTAAACGCCTAAAGCTACTACCTATAGTTAACGGGAAAAGTTCGAAAATTAACGAGAAGGAACGTGTGAGTCGCTTCTGGGGATGCGACTCTACTTATACCCGTACTCAGTCAGTATATACATTTTTGAGCTTCTGATTATTTATTGGATTATTGGAAACCAAATTTGGTTTCTCTAGCTCTTATAGTCTCTGAGATCAAGGCGCTCATCAAGACGGACAGACGGACGGACGGACATGGCTATATCGACTCGGCTATTGATGCTGATCAAGAAACGGAAACGTTTCCTTCTCTGCGTTGCACACATCCACTTTTACCACAAATCTAATATATCCCTTAACTCTTTCGAAAGGATCTTTTAACACCATAATGACTGGAAACACTCACAAAAGCTCGCTAAGAATTGGGTTTCATCCGAAACAAATTGACGTTTTCCAAGTCCAACTGGATATTAATATCATCGAAATCTTATGGAGGATTGTCAAATACATAGTCGCAACTGAAAATCCGGCAACCAGAGAAAAGTTTTGGCAAGTGGACGTTGGCCGACCTTATTCACCCATACCCGGCCGGTACAAAGCTGTAATGAAAACCAAATCTATATATCTATATATATATTTAAATTAAACATGTAAATACATAAAAAAGGAAGTCAGTTGGTGTTCGAGCACTTCTAGATATAGAACTGCTAGACCGATTTTCATGGTTTTTGATTGGTTGAATTTGTATCCATTCAGAAGCGCAAAGTAGCTATTAAGAACATCAAACGTTAGTATTACTGTATGAAGAAGGCCTTTTCAGAGCTGACTATAAATTTTAGAAAAAAAAACTGCCATCTCCGCAACGCGTGCACAAAATTGCATGCTGCTTTTTTTTAAATGATAGCCAGAGAATGTGACATGGTTTGCACAATTTTTTTTTATTTTGTACCTTATAAATAGGTTCCTCAAGAAATATAAATTGATCAAAAAAATTTTTAATTTGGTCCAAAAGTGTGTGTTTGAACGCCTTTTCCTTTCATTACATGTACAATTTTTTCTGAAAAAATTGCAATTTGTGTAAATATATTTGTTCCTTTTGATTATCATTGTTTAAATGCGATGAATTCCTAAACATTAAATGCATTTAGTAAGCAGCGAAGCTACTTAAAATAAACAAAATAGATAAATATCAGCTACGTTATAAGCCAGACTTGACTTATCGTTCACATATTATTATAGACGTCGCACAGTGGCTCATTTTCTCAAAACAAGTTGCAAAATTAATAACTTTTTAACCCGGCTAGGTATAAGTCTGAAATGTAATACATATATTTGCGATACTTAAAATAATTTTTTAAAAGAAAAATGAAAGTAGGCGTGTCACTGGAAGGGGCGTAATTAACGGTCAAACTCGAAATTTCGTTTTTTACCCTAAAAACCATCATACAAAATTACAAATAAAATTGAACAACATGCAAATATATTTTTGTACGGCAAATCTTAGTTTTTAATAAATTTCTACTAGTAAAATTTAAAAAAAATAATTTTTTTTTAGTTATTTATTTTGCACTTTCTGAGCCTATAGCACGAAAACTTAACCTCCAAAAAACGTCAAGTAATAATATTGAACAATCGATTTTTTTAGGTTTTTGAATCACAAAATAGAGATGTAATCGAAGCGTTTTTCGAAATTGCGAAAGAAAAGAGAGCCGTTCCGGACTTAAAATTAGTATATTCCTCTGAAATGGTTGCCCCATTTGGAAATAGGGAAAATTGCTTGGTTAAATATGAAAATATTTAATTAAATGCATATGCATTAGGCTGGGCCAAGAAATAGTGCAAAAAATGACGTTTCTTAAAAAAATCGAATAAAATATAATCGCAAAAAATATTTCCTTTTTTGTCTAAATTCATATTTTAGATTTGTTCCTTAAATTAGGGAAACAAAATTTTTTTCTCCTAGCTTGAGTACTTTTTGAGAAATATGCATTAACCTTTGCCTTTTAAGCACGGTTTTCTTCATTTTTTTAAAAACATAAAAATGGTCTAATTTTGAACAACGATTATAAATCGTAAAAAAATTTTTTAAATTATAAAATTGTGGTTTTGAATAACTTGATCAATTCCTAATTGAAGTGTAACAAAAGTGTTCCCAAATTCAATAACGCGACTTTTGCAACGAGTTTTCGGAAAACGAGCCACTGTGCGTCGTGGTTGCCGCGATCTAATCGTTCCCAACGGAGCAATTCGGCTACGAAACATTGCGAATCAATTATATGATAAAGAACGACCAATTAATCGAGAAGAGCGTCGCGTTGCGAGCATTGTGGGGAGACATGTCTGGATTGTGCTGCCTTAATGGCAAAGGGAAATTGTAAATCAATAGTTATTATTAGTCTGAATAGTACAAAAAATGGTACAAAATGGTTTTCAAATGTATGAATGAGGAAGAACGGGAATCCATACAAGATATATAAAACACGAAGCATCCACACGCGTAGGGGGAGACGGAATGGGAGACGATCAATTGAAGATGACGGAAACGGGAACGGAATATTGGGTATATTATACCCCCCAATTACTGCAAAAATAAATGTATATTAAACGTATTCGACTCACTTCTCATCCATGCAACCACAATGAGCCACAGTGAAGCTTGTCTGGGCCGCTAGTTGATTATAAACTAAATATTAAACCTCAATAAACACGTACAACATCTAAAATAGGTTTTAATTTAAGTTTCGATGATTTTTTTTAGATTTTCTTAAAAAATACACTACTATTTTCATGAACACCATTTTTAATGGGGTTTTGTCTAAAGTCTTGAAAACAAGAAAATGGAATTCAAATGCAACAGGACAATGCTGTCTATCCATAAAGGTATTACATTACATGTTCAATTTGAAAAACTGGAAGTGTCTCAAAGACAGTCCTAAAAGTGATGTGGTGCGGCACTACTATATCCATGTTCACAGCTGTGTACATACTATACAATAGGTAGCTACATACGTATGTACATAAAAAAGGTGATGGTGTTGATTGGTGCCATGCCTACATGGTGCTCTCTATTGTGTTAGTTTTTAATTGCCTTTTTAAAGTCAGAATCAAACAATTTTATTAAAATTATCTAATATTTTTTTATTAAACATGTATTTAAAATTATTACATTCAAAGTTGTAAATGCCTTCTTTTATTTAAATATCGCAATAATTTGGAATCAGGAAAATTCTTATGAGCACATTTGTTATCGTTATTTTTTCAGTAGATTTTTGAAACTTAAAACATTTGATATCAAATGCATTTTATTCATTTATACCACCTTGCACATGGAAAGTTTTTTAACAAAAAAATAAATGCTATAACCATTTTTCTATTGAATCGGATAAAACATAAACTTTTCCTTGTTTAAATTAACTATAATAGCTACAAATAGACATTTTAAATATATACATTGTTATCATATGATTAATTAGTAAAATTTAAGTCCAAAAATGTTTTGTTTTGCGTTAGGTTACCCACAGAAAACCAAATAGTCTGTAGACGCACAGCGTGAAGCAAAATGTAGTACCTATGTATATGTAAGGATTCCGTAATAAAACTAAGGTTCGCTCTAACTGCTGGAACTTAGTTCATCGTACTGCTGATACTCGCCTATTATCTGGCAGTCGTTCGGGTCATCATCGAGGTCACAATGTACAAATTCATAGGGAGGGAAGAACAGTGAGCTCAATAGAGTGGCCGATGATTGGTAAACAGCAGGTGAGGTTGTCTGGCACCTTAAAGATGCTGGTGTCTTACCAAGGCTGCCAATACCCAAGTATGGCAGTCCTAGCCGTGAGCATTGTTTGGCAATTGCGTCTCGCTGTGCATTCGTTATATGAATATCCGTGGCTGGCTCCGAAGGCGCCAACTTGGGCTTGTCCTATTTGCGGCGTCTGATCTTACTCCTGCTTGAGTCTTCCTCGGTGTTTTCCTCGTTTTCCATCAGGTTCTTATTTGGTTTTTCTGCAATTTGAGGCTCGTTGCTGGACTTTATAGCTGCGATCAAAAATCTCAGTTGCATAAGTTGCACAGCTGTTACCCGAGGGTTACTGCAGTTTTCCAGCCACTGCAGAAACTTCTCGCCATGCCTGATGGCCTTTACGTCTTCGTTGTCGATGTCGGCAGTTAAATCTAAATATTTTGCCTTTTCTTCTTCGTCAGTTTTGTTTGAGTTGTTATTGTTATTGTTGCTGGCGCTAACATCGTTGTTGTTGGAGTGCTGATTGTGTTCATTGGCAAAACTTGCTTCTGATTCGCAGGGCGCATCTACAATCATGGGCAAATGTGATTTAATGCCACCTATTTTGTAAAGCATGTTGTCGAGGATCTTTTTGCAGTCTCCACCTACACTTCCGGGTCTACTAACACATTCAGAGGGGGTGGTGCTCATTTTACCACAAGGCTCGGAAGTATGGCTATCCGGAACCAATGATGTTATCGGACTCTGAGATGGAGTTATTCTTTTTGCGGATGCTGACAAATCTTCCGGCTTGCCGGGTACGTCTGCTTCGATTTCTGTATCGAGATCCGGGTTTGTCACCTCGTCAGCGTCTATCTGGTCCATTTGATTGTGCTCGTTTGATGATAGGCTACGGACCGACGGGGTTTCAGACTCCTTTGTAAGATGGGAGTACAGAATATTATCGAAAGGTCCTTTCGACGTATCGGCTATGTCAGTGACATCAGAGACAGCTGATACGGGCTGCTGTTGCAGTGAATTGGCCTGCAATGCAGCTAGCGTCGCAGAGTTTGGATTAAGTGTGTGAAGGCTGGCACCAAAAACCTTGCACCAGTTATACCAAGCCGCGTTCTTTTCGTCGAGACTGCCGGATGGAGTCGATGATGGTGTCAATGGTGCAGACGGTAGTGGTGGTGTCTGTGCGTGTTGGATCATATGCTGTGGCGTGGAGGAGCGTATGGGGGGACTTGTCATCCCCATTGGGGTTGTTGGAGGATATAGGCTGTTTAGTCCGAGCATCGTCTGCTGAGACTTTAGCCAGTAAAGCAAAGGGTCCTCAGCCAAATTAGACAGTGAGATAATGCCACCTACATGTGAGGGTGCTAGTGATGGACTCGGACTTTTTATATCTGCTCCTTTTGCTTCGTTTTTAATAGTTAAATTAACGCTGCAACTGACATCGCTTGACACGGCAGATAATGGCTTTTGCTTAGCCCAGTTCTTAACAGACAGTCCTGGGGTTCGGTCTCCACTATCACTGCGTGGGCTTTGCACTTGCAACGGTGGCTGCCCACTGGGTTTCGAATTTCGCAAGTTGTTGGCAGTTGTTGAAAAACTATTCAGTCCCGACATTGCCGCAAGACTGGGATTCAGTTGTGCCAATAAATTTAGGTTTGTGGTCAGTTCATTGAAACTTATAGCCAGCGGAGACTGTGATAAACCGGTGAGACCAGAAAGGTGGGTCAAACTTGATAGGGGACTAATGGCATTTGGGGAAGGATTTGCGGGTCGGTGACCATTGAATCCCACATAATCAACGGCTAGCCCATTATAATTCAATTCGGACATATTTTTGTTTGTACTATAGTCTAAGCCGTTGAGCGGGGCGCGCTTAAAGCCGAGCTCATCGAATTTCATCTTGTTGGAGAAGTTCAGTGGAAGTGATGGATCAATGCGCTGCCTCTTCTCAGGGGGACCCAGCAGCCCTGCAGAGACGTCCAGCTTATCGGCAAGCGCGTCGGCGCACATTTTATCTGTGGTCGACTGGCGGGACATGAAGCGCAGCTTATCTTCATTCTTGCACCAGCCGCGAAGCGTAGACTCGGGAACTCCAATGTCCCTGGCCACAGATGCCTTCGACTCGCCATCGTGTATGCGCTGTATGGCATGGATTTTGTCCCGCGGGGTCAAGCTACGCAAAGGTCGCTTGCCCTTCGTACCCATCCGAATGTTCATGTGGGGGTAGCTGGAAATATCCAACTTCAAGCCGTTGTCGAACAGTTTGAGTTCTGAAAAAATACAAGCAGATTTAGCGAGTGCTAAAATTAATTATTGTGACACAGTTAAGACTCAAACGCATGTTATGATGTAGTATATAAAACAGTACGTTTTCATTCGCTAGAATCAAGCCCACAACACTGTACATACATATGTACATATGTACATCGATGGCGAATGCCGTGTGCGCGCGTCATGTACTTGTTCTACTTTTGGGGTTGTACGGGTTGGGGTCGCAGCAGCGAGTCAGATGTTCGTACACTGCTCCAATAAAATCGTCTCGCGTTTGAAACTTTTCAGATTTCAGACAACACGCGGTGTAAATAAACCGCGTACACAAACGCATTTATCAAAGGTATGTATGTGCATACGTATGTATGTATTCACATGTATGTACATACATACATGCATATACTCTAGTGCAAACACACCCACCCACCAAACGTTACAAATTGAGATGACAAAAATTCTCATGAAAACGCCGCTGCTTCTTCTGCTCTTTCCGCTCCTTCTCTTCTCTCTAGATGTACAGGCAAATGAGCTGAGGCACGCCCCCCGTGCTTTTTCTCAGCGCACAAGGATTCTAAAAATTAAAGTGCCCGAATACACACACACACACACACACACAAACACATACATATATATACATATAATATATATGTATATGAATATTTATTTACATAAATATCTACACATATATATACATATGTATGTATTAATGTATGTGTCTACATAGGTATATAAAATAAACATACATACATACATACAAAGAGACAATGGAATATGCTAATTGGTGCGTTGCCTTCGCGCCACGGCGCGCCTGCTCCAAAATGCAGCGCGCAGCGCCGACGTCGCGAGAAACTACGAATAAGCAACAAGAACAAGCCATTCGCTATCGTCATCGGCTTCTTTACGTGCTGCATACGAACAAAACCCGTATCCGTACCAGACTCGAACACGAATCATAGCCGAGCACACGAGACTACAGTTTATAACTTGTTACCTGTTTCGTGCCACTTTTCGTTGCAAGTTCGCTCGCAGCATTAAACATCCCCATCCATGCCATGCCATGCCAATACCAAACACGCCTGTTGCGCTATTGCTAGCTCCTACACCTACATCTACATCTACATACGTCCCAGCAGGTGCATCAGAAAGTCTTTGTGCCTCGAAACTTGGTGTGTGGTGAATGTAAGTGAGACTTCGAGCCTCAGTGGGCAAGTTGCAGTCGTCAGTCGTCAGCCAATATGCCTCTTTATAGCGGCCAGGAGTTTCGCCTCCGCTCAGGCTCTGACAAATAACAATATGCTCCGCCTCCATCTCCCTAGAAAGAACGAGGCATGCAAAAGAGCTGGCTCGTTTGGGGAGCGGGACCGGGTCGTGCAATTTTAAAATGAAAAACACGTTTTGCGCATGACTGACACATGAATTCATTCCTGCTCTGCTCTGCTCTGCTGTGCTGTGTTGTATACAAGAACACACAGCATTCGCACAATTTTATACAAGGAGTGAACCTGTAATACAAATGTCTCTGTGTGTCTGTGCAGAGAGGATTCATTGAAAGAGAAGCGTGGCTATCTCTTAAGAGCGCGATGATTAAATCAAGAGCAACCAAAACACCTGACAGAAGTTTGTTGGTTCTTCTCATCTGGTTGAGTTGACTTCACATTCACAGCCACTTAAAGTAAGCTCAAAATGTTGGCTGTTGATTTCAAATGTCATTTTCCTAATACGAAGTTTTCGATTCAAAAATCCAGGATCGAAATGAGCGAATTAAGACTAAAATTTAGCTAACGAATACGAACGACTAAAGCAAATGTTAAAGGTCTTTTTGGAGACAATAAGATTTAATTTTATAAAATCCAGAAAATAAAAAAGCCAAATGACTCCTTTGTCATTTTGATATCCTTGCAGATCGATCGATTCAATGCATGCTACAGCTTCTTGAATTTTGGGTAGATGATATTTTTGTACTCGGGCGTTCCTGAAACTTCTTTTTCGACATATTTCACTTAAGACAGATACATACGTACATATATGACATTATTGTCCGATTTGTACCTAATCCTATCAAGTGAAATATTTACAAGCATGAACAAATTAAAGGTGGAATTATCTCCATAAATATTTGTTTTTCTCAAAGTTTTGTTTTGACCGATCTTCCCCATGTCAGCTATAGCTGTATATGTATATGATATATACATATATTATCATATATGTACATATGTATGTACATACTTATGTATAAAGCGTGAAACTAAAGCTATGGTATGTGCAAATATACAGCTAGAAGGACGCAAAATATAACATTCCTTTATCGACTCACTTCCTTTTTGATCTCAAAAAATGACTTTTAATGACCTTGCAGATCTATAGTTTACACAATTCATACATACATATGTGCATAAATATTAATGCTAATGCTAATTTAATATATTAAATTAATGATACGCTTTCAAACTCAGTAGAATGTTTGGTATGTATACATATGTATACCATAGTGTACATATGTATGTGTGTATATATCATGTTTTCTTATAGGATTCTAGAATCGATTGAAAACCAAATGATTGTAAGAAAACCTTGTTCTGTTCCAGCTTAACCTCAATAAGCTTAGGTTTTTTATTTTTAAAGATAAACTAGCATCCGTCTGAAAGGGTATTGCTAGAGTTGTTGTTCTTTCTTGTTATATTTTTTTTTCAAGCAGGCTGTATCTGATCGCGACAAATTTGATCTATAGTTAGATATGTACATAGTCATAAAAAATGCAATCGTGCCAAAGGGGAGTCACAAAATATGGTACATAAACATGTACGTACATTAATGCATCACACTAAGTTCCCTAAGCGACATGCCGATATTTACTACATATGTACATATGTATGTACATATACTCATGCGCTCAAACCATAACCAATAGAGGAGCAAATAACGTGTTGGCGATGCACGTGTTTCCACTCCTACTCTACCCACAGTCCAGTCCACCAAACACATATCGAATAAAACTTTTACAGCTGTGTAAAAATCACAAGGTCCTTCACCATTCAGCAGCCATGGCGAAAGCAAAAGAATTTTTACTTTCTCTTTCGTACAGTGTCCGTCCTTGTGCCGGCGCGCCATTAAACTTTTCATGAACCAAACTGGGACAGTGAGAAGTGTGTAAAAAATCTAGTAACAACAGAAAAAGATGAAAGAAATAAATATAAAAGAATTACACCAAGTTTGTCTGTTTGTGTGTATGTATGTATGTACATATGTATGTAGGGGCAGAGTACGGTTTTTTCTGTGTCTGGTGTTGCTGCCAACCATACATGCAACGTTCACACATGCATACGTAAGGGATCTGTGCGTATGTATATACATATGTACATACATAAGTAGGTTTGTTTGTGGTGGCCAACCGTCTGGCCGTTTGTGAAAGTACGTTTACATATTTTATGTATGTGTTCCTATATATGCGCATACATATGTACATGCATACATGTACGCTTGTATGTTAGAAGCTCCTGATTTTCCTATATACAATTATAACTTTATTGTATTTACTTTTTTTCTTATTTGGCATCGTATTGAACTCACTCAGACACAGGCACAGACAGGGAATGCATGTGGCAAGGACACGGCAGGATAGGAGAGCAGCAAAGTCTGGCAAATAGAGGTCAACGACTGAAACTAGTAGCACTAATATGTGCGAGCTTTTGTATAAGTACATACATACATGTGTACACACATACATATGTATCTGTTGATTTCTCTGTTCGCTTGTGTTAATGTACAAATAAAAAAGAAATAAAAAGAACCAACAAGAATACTAAGAGAAGGAGACGTACTATTCTGTAAATAAAAGAAAAAGTTGATTTTGGCTGATCCCAATTCAGTTTATATGTTGTGTGTGTGTGTGTGAATGTCTCGACGGGCTTAGAACTGTAATCTTGTGTACGTTCGTATGAATGTACACACACATGAATGCATTAGTGAGTGTATTTGCGTGTTGGTGTAACCATAAGTGCCGACCTGTTGGAAGACTTTGATCTATAGCTATGGGCCAAGCAGAACTACTATTCAATAAATAGTCTCTTGGATCATATGTACATAAATACATACATATATACAGAACACAGAAACATTGGCAGGTTACCTAATTATCTGCTTACGAATTGTGTTGACATATTACCATCCTTCAGAACTAAAATTCATTTAGTTTGTGAATTGCTTTCGTACAAAGTCCATTGTGAGCCCAGATACATAAAAGACAGCAAATTACCATCAGTCTAGTAGTAAAAGTGACTTATGTACATACATATGGATGTACATATCTACAAATAATTAAATATTGCATTTTTCAGAAAATGGCAATGGGACCTCTGTCTTTGGCTTGGCATATTATGTCTTTTTTAATTTAACACATTTTCTTCGAAGACGAGGAATCTAATTTTGCAGGTAAAAGAAATACTTAAATCAAAATTTTGGCAACAGTGTGGCAGACAATTTTTTTACAATTTACATATATATGTATCTATGTATCAGCTAGATACATATCTTTTTAGGTACAAAGCTTTACATTTAAGATTCGTGCCTAGTTGGTTTGGAAATAGGCAGACTAACAGATTGGGGCGAGCAGATAGACATAGACTGAATATTGATCAGGAATATCATGATCTGGTTGAAATCAGTCACTAAACTTTTGTAATACTTTTGTTAATCTGGTTTTGATCAGATTCGTTGTGTGTTTTCGAAATCGGTTACTTCTATTCGCTGCAAATTTCTGGATGAGGCTAAAAGTTTTTCTTACAAAGACTTGTTTTTCGAACGATTTCTTCAATGTTAGCTACACATGTACATACATACATATGTATGATATAATGACCCCATCTCTGCGGCTACGCAACAAAAACAAGGGTCTGGGCAAAGTTAAATCCGAATTGCATTAAAATTAAGAAAGTAACTAGAATGAAAAAGTACAAAATTACTGACAGCCTTAAATACATAGATGCTGATAAAGAATGTACATGTACTAAACATAATAGCATGTACACATGGACCATGAAAATATAAATATGTATATATGAAAATAGTATTTAAGAAAAACGCGACGCTTTTAGTTGGATTGTCTTCAGAAACCAACAAAAAGTGTCCCTTTCTTAACGAACATATTTGGGGGTAAGGGTTACATCTCTGAACAACACCCTGTTGGGAACATCCCTCCCCATTTACTTCACCTGAAGCTCCTATAATAATGATCTATTATTTTTACGTTCATATTTGTACAATCTTTGTATGCATCCAAACACTTTTTCTGTACATACATATTCATCTGTTTATGAGCGCCCAGAGACTATCAGAGCAGACAGATTCTTCTGATAACATACTAGATCTATTTTGATTCAAATAGTATACAAATTCCGCTCCAAAAAATTGCGTTATCTTGTGGGATCTAAAATTTAGAGTATACGGCAGTAAACAATTTTCGATAACGGATATATAATGCAGACGGAATAATGATAACAATTCGAAAACGACTTGTCGGTGATTTCGAAAACTGTTAAAGCTGGAGCAAGAAGATTTTGATTTTGTGATAATTACGCAGAACCAGTATAAATAATTAAAATGTTTACCATTCACCCATTCCATTTGTTTCAATCCAGAAAACCGGCGTGCCAACATCTTTGTAGGTTTAAACATCCCGCCTTTTACATTCTTATAAATAAATTTATATCTCAGATATGGGTGCGATCAAATCCTAAGGGAAACAAGTTCTCTACAGTGGCTGAATCTCTCTCCGATTTTGTCTCTATCACTCCCAGTGGGTTTTCATACCCGAAACGTCCTAGGAAAGAGAGCACCAATACCACTACTGCCTCTCTTCCGCCACCGCTGACTCAACCCAAGTAAGACGCGTGAAGAATGTTTTACTAAAACAATCTTTTCTTCGTATACCCCCTTCTGTGGCGTCGAGCAGAGCATTCCTTTTGTTTCGATCTCTGTTGAACAAGTGAAATGCATTTTAAAAAACACAGAAACACATATTGATATGAGCTATTCTCTCCCTGTGAGACGTAATACGTGCTATTTATGATGCACCTGTGCATCAAAGAATATTCAAAATTGGTTGGATATTTTATAAATGGTTTGTGTCAATTACAGGGAGAATTTATAGAATGGTGCCTCCGGTTTATTTTTTATATTTGTATATAGGCAGTCGAAGTGACGCAATTATCTACGTAACAAAATTTTAAAGCAATTACCCTTTCTGAAGATTTAAAAAGTTGTTTTTTAAAAATCTGTCACCAAAACAATATATATTCGGAATATTTTTAGAATTTTTCACTACTTTGCTTAATTTGTAGCGTTTGTTCGATCGCAGAAGTTTTACGTTGAGTTAATTGAAGAAGTATACAAATTTATGGCTTTAAAATGTTATAGTATTTAACAAGTAGTTATTTATTTGCTTCGAAGGCTTTTCGGTGAAAACACACATACTAACCTTTTTCCTACACTTCCGGTGAAAAGTTCAATGTAAACCTTCCGATGAAGGAGGGCACTTTGTCTCGATTTAAAAAATCTAAATAGGACTGAACTATTTTTCGATCGTCCTGAGATATTCACATAACATAAAGTCACTTTCAGGAATATAGATAATGGTCACTGTCTTGTGTTATTCTTTTGATTGAAACTTGATTGATGGTTAACGAGGAGATCAAATGTTGGTCGCGTTTACAAGCTGGAAGCACAATTTAACTTTGTTCTCATTTATTTACAATTATTTGCCATCGTTCCAATCTTAGCCGCGACAGCACAAACACCGTCTTCAAGCGACCGGCTTTCGAAAGGATGTGACCTTTCTGTCGTCGACGAATATTATGCGAACCTAAACAGCAGCGTCCGGCGACAAACTACCGCGAGCTAGCGAGCGCACAATTTGAGCGAATTTTGATTTTAGCGCGGCGAATTTCCACACTACGATGACGCGACGGCGACGGCGACAGCGGCATCCACGGAAAATTTAAAATCGCACGTCCACGTTATGCGCCTCTGTCTCAGTTGGTGTTTCGTTTCTCCTGAGTACGAGCCCACACACACACACACACAAACACACGAGGTGGTTGTTGCCTTGCGCGTGTGTGTTTGAGTGAGTATGTGTGCTTGTTTAAAAGTGTATGTATGGTCAGTCGACAGTATTTGTAGTTTTCGTTTTGTTCCTTTTTCGCTTCAATTTACGTAGCAGTACATGTATGTATGTACGAGTGTGTCGACGCTCTCGCTCTCTGCGTGTCCCGTTGCTGCCGAATTCGCGGCCTTTTTCGGTGACAGCCAAATGTACAATGATTAATAACGGCCAAGACGGCAGCGAAGAAGTCGACGTTGCCAACGCCATTGCTCTCGTCGCCGCTTCTGCTGGTATTGGCCAACCCAACCACAGGCCACACTGTACGGTCCGGTCCGGTCCGTCCCGTCTACTTGGATGAACAGGCTGGACAGCTCGCACTCGCACTCACACGCACGCAGCCGAGTATTCACACATATATACAAGCATTTGTATGCACCGAAACATCAACGAAGTCGACGCAATACTCGTGTGGCCGGTTTGTAGGCTGTGTGCTGTGTGAGACGCACATCCTTTTTGGCCTTAGCAGCAGCAAACATACTTTCTTGTTGTCATGTCTTAGTGGACGCGCCTATACGCCTATACGCCTATATGTGTGTTGTATATTTTTGCGCTGGAAAGGACCTATGGACCTGTGAACGGGTGGTGTGGTGTGGTCCGTTTCTGGGACCACCGTATATGATGGCTATGTGCAAAAACGAGCGAAATCGAATGATGCTGCTGCGTGCACTACATCAACATGCTGTGCGCATTTTTGTGTGAATGTGTAGTTTTGGTTTTGCTGGGATGCGGAGGACATCTTATATGTATATTTTTGGATACTTGCTTTAAAAATAATACGAGTGGGCTTTGAAGAAGAGCAACAGGAGCCAACAGGAGTCTTTACTAAAGCATTCAGACCACGACTTCCGAACTACTGATGTAACGTAAATAACGATTGCATTTAGTCCAGCGTGGCCCTTGACTGATTAACCCAGGAGGCGCTCATCGTTGTTGATAGTTGTGTTATTTTCGCCGCAGACTCGGCTGCTGCCCGGCTGGGCTGCTGTTGTTGCTCTTGGCTTAGAGTCCAGTTTTCCCTCGCTTTGTTTTGATACATGCCTTCATCACTGTTTATGTTCGATTGCCGCTCTTTCGCTCTCGCCAGAGAGCGACTGCTTTGGTGAGAGAGTAATACGATGCGCCTCTCACTTGACAGCTGGGTAGCTTTTGTGTTCGGGTTTTGCCGCCGAACGAAGCTCTTAAGGTTGGTTGTGCTTTTAATCACCAACCATATATTGGGGGTATCAATCCTACAATGTCTTTCGGTCTCTTGTGACTAAATACCGATCGTTAATGAATATACCGTTAGCGTATGGACATGGTGATGCATACATGTATGTAACTCCTTCAAATAATAAAAGAAAAAATAAAATAAAGCTGCTTGTAACGATATGTCATATGGTTTGAACATATCTACATTCATATGTATGTACATATGTACATATGTATTTACATATTTGAATATGATAAAGATTTCTAGTTTCAATCCGGCCGATCTATTTTCTATGGCATTTTTGTATTTTCTATCATTAGCTCTGCAAACTGACAAAGCCCGAGGAAAAATGTTATCATTTAGATTATTTTCAAAAATATATTTGAATTTATGTTTATGCAATTCTAGATTTGAAAACGGTAGATGTACTGACCAGAATTCTTCGTATATCCAGTATATCCAGTATATGTACAGCAAATATAGAACTTGTCTGTAACAATTGAATCTAACTAACGGCAGCGGCCAATGGCCAAAATATCAACGAAACAGACAACACAACAGCACTGTCACCAGTGTTTCCGTTCGAAAAATCGCTAAGAAATGTTTTTAGTCCATGTGCATACATATGTACGTACACACGGACATGTATACAACGGTCAGAAACAAAAGGACATACATACATAACTACAGATGTCCGGCATGGGGCGGCACTGGCAAGAAACATCCTTTCCTTTCTACTAAAAAGCCAAGCAGCCTGCCCGGGTCGGGTCATTTCATCTTATACACACCAGCCCATGGAACCACACACACATCGTACGTATACATACGTATACATACGCACATTCTTAGCATCCGCAGGCACATCAGCATCTTTAGCGTAAATTTTGCTGCTGCGAAAATTTAGAGTTGTTGCTTTATTGCAATACACGTGTGTATGTGTGGATACATGCTTGTATGTACGAATAGGTATGTGTTTATGTGAGCTAGTGTATGTGTATATACTTCAGATTTTCATCGGCGTTGCTGTCCTCCCCTCTATTTGTCCGGCAACCCGTGCAACCGACCGATTGTCCGTTGTCCGCCAAAGCAACATTTTCCATTTTCGTTCGGTCTCTCTTTCGCTGCCGTACCTTCCTTCCCTCTTATCTGTAGTTCCTTGCCAGCTACCTTCTTTGCCCATGCAACGGTCGATTTGTCACCCACTACGGCGACACCCTCCTCTTGCTCTTGCTCATGCTCCTGGCTCTCCCCCCACAGTGCCTTAGTCTCTTTTCTGTTTTGTGTGATTACGAATTCGTCGCCGTCCTCGTCTAAACTCAATTCACTTTCTCCCCAACCCCACACACGCGTCGATTCAACCATCCTCCAACCCTCAACTCAACCCCTCACGTCACACCTCTGTACGCAGCTTGGACGAAGGAAATTTTCGCGAGAATTGAAAGATGAAGGAGCATTGGGCTGGACATTGGTCACCGTTGCTGGAAGAAGTATGCCGGGTATGTGTTCTTTCCCCGGAACATACATATATACATACACGTACATATGTACTTCTATCCCACATTTGCATTAACTTTTTCAGATAAAAACAGACGTTAGTATGTAGATACATATGTACATGAATATACATATATGTATGTATATGTACATACATATGAATGTATATAAAAGCCGTCCGTTTTTGATTTTTAGCATTGATTTTCACCCACAGCTAGAAAAACATCTCGTCGCATTTTCAGTTTGTCTGAATAGAATTCAAAATTTTCTTTAGCTGAACTTCTTGATTTTCACCAACCGTTAATTTTTTAACAGTACATAAAAAAAATACCTTTTTATCAATATGAAATAGTTTTTAAGTTTCAATATTATTTGAAAAAAATCGACGAATTTAATTTTTTTATTAATGCATAGTTAACCAAAAAAAGTGTATTTTATTTCGTGGTAGAAACCCCCTAACACTAAACTAAAAAATTTAAATTGTATAATTTTATTTACTAACAAAGAAAAACAGAAAAAACTTGAAAAAAAAACAAACAAAAAATGTTCATCAAATTTTGGCCTTGCTGTCCACAGCGACTATGGGTCAAGTTTTTTACAGGTTGAGTTTTTTTTCTGATTCCGAATTTTGACTTCATAGTTTCTCGGTTCCGGAATGTTTAACCGGCCTAATACGCGTCCTATTTTCGTTGAGCTATTCCGACTCTTTCTTCCTTGCGATTACAAACCTAAGATTTTGATCATGTTTAGTCGACAGTCGTTTTAGAACAGCCGATTTCTAAAATAAAGATTTATTGTTCATCAAACTTCAAGCATCGGGGCTCCTTGGTTAGCTTCCTTGCAACCTATGTTGAGATGATAATTGATAATAATATATACATATAGTATATACATATATATGTTCTATCCTTTATCAGTTAGCCCAATATAAAAACCTGTACTTTGGGCCATTGTTCAAAAGAGCAGATCGATTTTTATACATATGTACATATGTACCCACTCACTTCTCTGTAGAAAAATGTGTGCATATATCAATAGTTTCGATCTAATGCATTCTCCTAGACATATCTTAGGATGTGCTTAGGATTATATTGCGAGTAGATATTCAAAATCTTTTCGTATAAAGAAACCCTAATCCGATGTCCGCAAACCTGCAATGCTGTATTGCAGGAAATGGGATGGCATACAAGTTGTTCGCCACCGCTACTGCTACCGCTACCTAAATCCAAGCACCACCCTTAAATCCAAGCAGCCAGCCCTCGCTTCTATCCATTGTGTGCAGTTTTATCTAAGCTAAGGCGATTTTGGCAGACAAAACCGCTGCTCTCGCAAGTTGTGCCCAGTTCGTCCGCATCGGAATCCCTTTCTTTCATTATATCTCAGTGTATTCCATTTGTGCTACACACATGGTCTAGTCATTGCTGTTCCTATGATTTGCATATTTGAGCTCGTAGCTCCTTTGTTTTAATCCGCCTCCTTCTGCCATCTTCCGAGACTGTGACGAAGTCCGAGCTCTTTTGTCAGCAACCTTTACCTGTGTGCGTTTGCGCGCGCGTGTGTGTGTGTGTGTATACGAGTATATGCATATTCCTGTCATATAGAACTGCTGAAGCCAGGATATCGCGTAAGGAGAAGGCAAACGTGCAGGCTGGAATTGGTCCTTCCAATCTAAGCTAAATGCAACCATTGCCTGGCCGCCTTGTTCCCGTAATTTTCCAATGCCTCTGCCGTTGAGAAAACAGAGAATTCGAAACAATTGAAGAGGTAGCGATGGAGCCATGCCATGGCAGACGCACCATTCTCGACCATCAACTTCTGACCACTTACCGGCTCTCACTATATCTGCAGTGCTGCTGCTGGTCAGAGTGTTAGACAGAGACCACAGAAGATGCACAGAGACCGAGCCAGCAAGTGCGAACGAGATGTCTTTGCCAAAAGCTCCAGCAACGAGCAGACGAATCCTTTTCAAAATTAAACTACTCGTATATGCAGCAAGTGAAAGAGCAAGAGCAAGGCAACGCAACGCAACGCAAGGCAAGGCTAAGCAAGGCAAGAAATGCACACACCTCCATCTCCATCCGCCCACGCTACATCCTGCTCCGAGAATCAGTCGAGTGCGAGCCACATGCAAATAACGCAGACACATGCAGTTTTTCTTGTATCCTTGGCTGGCCCGGCTCTGGCTGTGGCTCTTCACATCTTATGTATTCGGTAGAGCTTTGTTAAGATATTCTTTGCACCTAAGATGGACGATGTTTGATACGGGGGAAGCCAGCTCGTGGCATATGTACAGGTTCAATTAGTTGCTAATTGCTATAGGTCCAAAAACAACCATGTACGACTATCACACATACATTTGTATATATGTATGTATTTATTTATATTCATATGCCTGCATACATATTCATACATGTATGTATGTATATGTATAAGTGAAAATGATGTACATACAGATGCTTGTGTGGTAAAAATATGTAAATGAAGAGTATAAATTCAAATACATCCACAACACATACATACTTACATACATATGTACATGCATATAGAACGGAGGTATGGTATCCCTGTCGTTCGGTAGACTAGACTGCACCAGC